AACAGCCGGGCAGAGGCGGTGCTGAGGGCCAGGGTTTGGGGGTGGGATGGCAGGGGTAGGGGGGCGGTTGGGCTGGGGGATCCTAAGGGCTTTCCCAACCCAAACCATTCTGGGATTCTAAGAAATTCCATCTGAATTCAAGATACACATTTAATATGAAGTTGTGGAGTCTCCCTCCTCAGAGATACTCAGAAGCTGTCTGGACATGGTCCTGGGCAACTGGCTCTGTGTGACCCCGCTTGAGCAGGGGGGTTGGAGCAGAGGGACCCCAGAGGTTCCTTCCAGCCCCAACCAGTCTGGGTTTCTGTGAATTCTGATCGAGAAATTCCATCTGAATTCAAGATACACATTTAATATGAAGTTGTGGAGTCTCCCTCCTCAGAGATACTCAGAAGCTGTCTGGACATGGTCCTGGGCAACTGGCTCTGTGTGACCCCGCTTGAGCAGGGGGGTTGGAGCAGAGGGACCCCAGAGGTTCCTTCCAGCCCCAACCAGTCTGGGTTTCTGTGAATTCTGATCGCACTGGGATGGCCGCTCAAACTAGGCAAGGATGAGCTGAAGGTCAGTGGATTGGAGAGGCCAAGAGGAAAGACTTTGAGTAGTACCTGCGTTTCCCAGCGATGGGTGAGAAACCACCCATCTTTCTGCATCTGGATTATAAATTTCAGAGTCCCAGTGTGGTGGGTTTTTGTATCAGCACACACTCACTGTAACAAAGTGGGGTTCCCCCCGTGATGGTTTCATCTTTCCAGCAGGCAGAATGCTGATGTGTCTCTGCCAATTTAGATTTGGGTATTGCAAATCTCTAACTCGGGATTTTTCCAAGCGATTGTAAGGAATGCAGCTATCCGCTTACTCACTATACTGTGTGGTGATGGCACAGCTGTACACACCGTGCCATTCGGCTGTATTTTACAGTTTTAACTCTGATGTGTCTATGAAGCAAATCCTGATCCTTATTTCTTAAAGGACGCGATACTTCTTGTCAGCACAGCGGCAGCGTGGGGTTGCAGGGTTAAAGTTCTCATTCAGAAAGCTGCTCTCTCTTGCCCCCAGTAATATTATAATTACTGTGTGCTTAGGACAGGAGGGCTGAATGCAGCCAGCCGTCTTCCCTAGCGCCCGCGAGCTGCTGTCTGGGTCGCAGACATAATTAGAAATATGAATGATTTCTTTAATTCCCGTTTCCCTCAATATCTTATGTTTTTCCTACTACTCTACTCACAACACTGCTGTCGCCTTCCTGCTATCTGTATTTGCCCGTTCTATCTGCTTTTTATAACTCTTCCTGACCACAGTGGTAACCATGTTTAGGAGGTGGTGGGAGATGGGGTATTTAGTCAAAATGGCAGAATTCCCCTGGAACTAACGTTAAGCGAAGGATTGTGTGCGGCATGTTCTTAATTTGATCCAAAGCTAGAGCAAATCCTGGGCAGGTAAGTTAGAACGATTGAACGGTCATGGTGTTCTGTGGCAATGCCTTTTCTTCCTCTGTGCTCAAAAGGCAAGTTATTCATAGAATCCTAGAATGTTTTGGGTGGGAAGGGACCCCCAGAGCCCACCCAGCCCAACCCCCCTGCAGGAGCAGGGACACCTTGAACCACATCAGGTTGCTCACAGCCCCGGCCAACCTGGCCTGGAATGGTCCCAGGGATGGGGCCTCCACCCCCTCTCTGGGCAACCCCTGACAGGGTTTCACCACCCTCA